AGTTCTGCAAGCAGAGCACATTTGAAGTGCCGGAACTTTGTTAGGAACCTGAAACAACTTAGAAACTACGAGAAACTTGTCCGGTTCCAGCTTCTCTACGAAATGTTCAACAACGGCGAAAAGCCATGGCCAGACGATGAACCGAAAAGGATTGCTACTCACATACGGTTCGTTACGACAGCAGTCATTGCACAATAGGAGTAAAAGACGTTATAGGACGATAGACCTGGCTATTACCCATGTCGTGACGTGACAGTGTTGCACGCCAAGTCGACGCGTTGCATTGCAATTCACGTTCGCGCGTTCATACTTTGCGGCAGCGCCCACCAGCGTTCCAAGCGTGCAGCAACGCCGGCGACTGGAAAAGTGTAGATATCGATCCAGCGTCTGCCATCATCCGCTACGTCTGCTAGCGTCTCGAGGGCTAGGGAAGTATAGGTATCGATCTGGCGTCTGCCAGCGTCTACCAACGTCCGGCGTTGAGATTATGGGGAACAACTGGATTAGATGTCGTGAAACTGCGGCGCGTGCAAAGCACCGTACGTACAATTACACTGCAACGTACATTAAATTGCATAATTCTGTGCTTTAGCACTTGTGCAGTGCACACTCGGCAAGTTTACGATGCCTAATTCAGCTGCTTGCTTGCTACCTGGCCATACTCTCTACTCCCGGTCGCCAGTGGACGCTCGTGGACGCTGCCGCAAACAATGAACGCCGCCCTAGTGGACTACGGACATCACTACATCTCTTTGATGCATCTCTTTAATGGTGCCACCATCTCGAACCCATAAAAAACTGTTCGTGTTCAGAAAAGGGCGAATGCCTGCAATGCCTCCTAGCACACCACCTCAGGTAGTACAAATGACAGCGAATATATGGTAAGTGCATTGAAAAGATGAGTGGTAGTAATATTCACTTGTCTTCATCCCCATTCAGGAATATCAGTCCAGAAGCGAGACCTTCAATGGACGACCTATGCAAACAGTTGAGAGCGCTGAACAAAACAGACTTCAAGGTAGTCAATTCCATTGTGCATTTCAATGAAGTACATAGTCCTCTATGAGAAACTGGTAGCGGTGAGGTACAGAAACAGAAGGGTAAGTGGTAATCGAATCGATAAAAGATAAAAAAAGCAAAAGAACCCGTAGGAAACTACCCGAAATTAGATCACTGCTGGTTCAGTCACACCGCGCACAACAGAGGAACACTGGGCATCCAGGAGAAGACAGTACGCGCAAAACCGATGAGAGAAAGTTTTACGGATAGGAAAGACCACATTGTACCAGTTTAGCAAGTGAAGCGGGCAGTAGCTCACCTTTGTGGGCGGAGCCTGTCCTTGTAGCAGACCTCTGGCGACCATGCTAACATTATATTCGGCGCTACAAGAAAACGGTATACCTGTGTTTGGAATCTCACATACCCGGCTGCCTCAACGGAAATCAAAGCCTGCCCACAATGCAGGACTATCCACAGACTGTTTTGTATTCACGACATTCTCTAAACGCATCGATCTCTAAACACAAAGGAAATTAAATATCGGAGCAAATAAACATTCAAGTCAATGATTGCTGAAGGTGCCAGAGCAACCGAAGTCATGTCCATGAGTTGGGGATTTTGGTCTAGTCTGTACGACCCCTCCCCATCCTAGTTCCCTCTTCCCTCCGTTTCCTTCCTGCTATCGAGCCGATCGAGCGGTGGGAGAAGGGAGATTTGAAGACTTTTTTCCAACGCCGCAAATTCCAAATTCCTCTCAGAAGGCAAGTACGACCCCCCCCCTCTTGAGAAATCCCCAAGTGAAGTGTCCTGGTAGACGAATGGACTGGCATGCATTATTCCGTCCTAACTGTAGTTGCTCGTCGAAACTATGAGAAGCGAGGAATCGATTTATCGATTCATAGAAATGTTTTTCAGGTGGATAAGTCAAAACTGACAACTTCTAGGACGGACGTTATGAAATCAAAAACTGAATCTTGCGCTGTAAGTGACAGTTTCACATTATGAGTACCTAGTTTTGTTTACGGAACGGCAGAGAGTAATATGGGGAACACCTAGCCAAACTAAGATGTTCTATCTGACCGACAGTAGAAAGTAGGCACATACACACAGTTATTATCATCGCATTCCGGTGGGGCGGTGTCAGGAAGCAGGCCCACCAGCGGTGATGTCTACCGCTGAGTGTTCTCTACCTGAACCGGCCACTACTGGTAGAAAGTGTGCTAGCAATAGGGCTCACGCCTTCTGAAATCGAATTGCAACGATATCAAATATAAGTACGAGGTCGGCCTCCCTGACTGCCTCTGTTCTTCGCCCATGGATTACCCGTCCTTATCAACAAACGTTTTTGACCCTCGTGGAATGGTTGAGGTAGTAGG